AAGCTCAATATGAGATCACGTAACTTTTCTCAACATAGTCACCGTTTAACTCAATACATTTCTTATGTCGCTTTAATCAGTCATAAAAATGTGCACAAAATGTTCAGGTTTCATACGTAAAATAATATTTAACAATGCCTGTCCCAAATCCCTCAATCATCCAACCTCCGTACGCGTAAAACGTTTTTATTTATGGAAATACGGCAAAGTCACGTTATAAAGTTCATTTTTACAACACTGCAATCTCGGAATGATGGTTTTCGTTCACGCATGTCATCCTGTAAGCTATTCCTTCTGTCCGAAATTATTATATGCCACTTAAATACTAATGGACAGCTTCTTTCACTCTGTTTTCCCGATTGTTTACAGAATGTATTGGTCTCTGTAGGTGTTTTTCCGATGTCTGTACATATTTTTATCACTGCTCACTGCTCCACCTATTCCGAAAACGTCCATTTTCTTAACAATTCCAATACTGTCTTAATATGATCTAACTTTGATTGTTCGGCCATTTTGAAACTTTGAACGTTAAAATTTTGCAAGTTTGATGTGATAACTTCTGTCAACCTTATAATGTAAAATTCAGCAAGATTTCCGCAGAATTTTATAAAATACAAATGTAATTTATAAAAGTAATAAATAATACTTTAATTGAAATTTTGCGATGTTCCGCGTCTCCATTCCAAGTCTAATTATGAAGCCATAATAGTAATCAAACATTTGAAATTGAATAATTTTTTACATTTTTCAATTCACATTAAGTAAAGTATTAAAAATATGATAATAAAAAAATATCAGTGACGCAACTTTTATTTAATTTTTAGCTTGTCCACGAACTTTACGGACAGCCCTCGTAAATAAGTAATAAAATGGCCCAAATGGCCTTTCCTCTTTAATTTCCTGTTTTCTGAGTGAAAGTAATTATTGATAAATCTCATCCTTACCTCCATAACAGCCCAAAGATTGACCAGACGAAACGACTCCTTCTTCATGACAAAACACATCATACACACAATTACCTTCGACCGTCTTACTGATAATGCCAGGTTCATAAAATTTTCCGTTGTACATACATCCAGTTGGTTTCTCCGTCGTGATAACTGCCGCTCTAGAGATACAGAGAAGAGAGAGGATCAGGACTAGTATTGGAGACATATTTACTAGGATGACACTGTGCAGCTGTGCTATCCTCGCCTTATATAAGATCAGGTACACAGACTGCTGTATCTTTGAAGTTATAATTTGCATTGTGTTTCTGTTATATTTCATCTCCTGTCAACACATCTTACCTTTATAAAAATATTTTTAATAAAGAAATTGTGTTTCAAAAGATTTCTGTTTTACAATTTTTTGGATGAAAATGTGTATTTGAATAAGATGGATGGATCATAAGTCACTGGTTCCCTTGTAATTACTAACCTTTTGTAAAATGTTCTTGCTTCTTCGAGAATGACCCATACGAAAATGTGTAATTAACCGTCAACTGGTCGTTAACTGAATACTCCGATTGAATTCTAACAGCATTTTCTCGTATAGAAAGATAGAGTTCCCATGTCTCAGTAGGTGCTGACAATAAACATAAGTTCCATTTTTTTAATGAAAAAGGCAGCTGTTAATGATGTAAAGAAGCCATTCGTTGGGAATAGTTGTGAATAAAGCTTAAAAGTCGTAGGTTTTTATTCTGTTGATTTTGTAAAATTGGTAAAGTTCTTAAGGATTTTTAAGTATCCACATGAAGAATATGGAGATAACGAACAGTATTTAATATCAAAAGTCCATAAAACAAAACGAAATTGGAGCAGAGCAAACACGGACCTCTTAAACATCGGAGGTGGGATCAGGTGCCATGGAGGAGTGAGCATCCCCTGCTAACCGGTCACACCCGCCGTGTGCTCCTTGTCATGATCGAAAAATAACGGGAAAATCCATCTTCAATTCAGTGTATATATAATGGACTAACAATCATTATGAAAAAAGTCAGTCAGCATTTGACTCAATGACACATCTGATTTACACCACTTTCAAATAAATTGTTGCACAGTACACTTGAAGTTTCACCTTTACTACTGTGAATATAGACGTATATATTTTGCGAGGAGTAATAAAAAGAGCTTGGAAGAAAATTAACTTGAACCCGCTGCGTATCTTTCTTTGTAAGAACTTTTTTGAAATTTTGGAATTCATTATAGATAGGGTAAGTCAAATTCATTCTTTGTGTTTGGAGTATTAAAATATTTCAAACCGAAGTATGATTTTGAAGACTTTCCTTCTTAGAAAGGGACTTTGAGTATAAGTTGGATTACAACTAGTAAAATTAAATCCCAGTGCCTCTAAAATACAATTTAAATAATAAACTTTCAACCAAAGAAAAATAAAAGAACAAAAACGGCTACCTGCATAAAGTTGTAAATGATAGATACATGTATACATTAGCTTCTGATTTCGATTCAAAATAAATTTATCTGAAATTTTATTTAAGAACATATTCAGAATAGGCAAAATTAATAAAATTTAGAAAATGATTTGTCTTTCATCTTATTGTGGTGTCTTTTAATGTTGTATTTTATTTATTAGAAAAAGGAATCAAGAGATTGGTTGGAACATTGACAATATTTATAATTAAGTAATGGACACTTTCATCAGAATTCTCAAAAAGAGAAAAAAATGTTATTCAATATCTATTGAGGTGATAAACTCCTCTTTTCTATGTTTCAAGAAGCAGGAAGCAGGAATCTTGCTATTATATAGAATTATTATACTTATGATGAAAACAGATAATATTATTAACGAGGCCGAGTCTAATTTGAGTGCGCATGACTTTGCGCAGCTTTTTAATTTCATGCAGTCATTTGTGTGACAGTACACCTTTGCCAAATATTTTAATCTTAATACAAAATTAACATTATCTGTAACCCCTACTGATCTGAAATTGTGTTTTTACGACAACAATTAGGGAAAAAAAACGCCGAAATGGCTCTAACAACGTCACAATTTTTGAATTCATAGGGTCCAATGGTAAAATTTGACAACATTTCAGATGGCCCCCTAAGAAATCAGGATCGTAAACATTTTAATCTTAAAACAATAAATTAACAGTAAAAATTATGAAGCAAAAATTATCAAAATCTCTAGGGCAAAAATAATTAGTCTCGGCCTCGTTAAATGAAAGTACCAATAAGAATAAATCATATATTTGAGAACAAAATTAACAAAATTTACATCTTAATAAGAAAAGCACATTCTGATTCAGGTTATTACTTGTAATGTTATTCTGGTATTCATCTGATTGATATAAAGACTCTGTACTGCAAAATCTGTTTCATATTTTTATGGTTTTCTGGCTTAAGATAATAAAGGCCAAGTAACAACAAATTTTATGAAATATAAGGTCAATTTTTAATCAGCTATCTTTATTTACGTAATCACCTTATCACCTGTATCACATTCTCTGAATAACATTATTTTTTCAACAACGACAGGCTACTGACAGATACGTTGATGTTATATTGATTTCAAATACATCGTTTAAAGTTGGAATGTAGTAGTTCCACGGTTAAAATCAAATATTACCTATCATTTGGTCGTATTTTACCTGACATGTTTCATTCAAATTGATAGATTATTGTTTTTACACTCATTTTAATTGCGGAAATTCGAGTGCGTCATCTACGTGATTAATACATACAGCTCTCGGCAGGTGTAACTGATTAACAGGAGATTCATACAACTGATCCGACCTCCTGGAGTTTACAGACGTTTGTAACCTGTTTATTTTTACATTATTTAAATATTTTAAGAACGATTACTATTTGTTTTCTTCACTCTTTTAATAAAATGTCGTTAAATGAATACCTGCATATACAGGATCCTTTGTTCTTTTGTGTGTTTGTTTTTGGTGTCCTTTTATGAATTTTTCGCTTATATTGAAACATTCATACTAGCAAGTGAAGGACTTGTATTTCCAAAATTTGAGCAGCTAGGGATCTTTATCCTCTCAGCATCTACTGTCCCATCTTATCCGAAGAAGCATGTGCAGGGTCGCAATGCAGTGGTTACTGAATATAGCAAGTCTAGCGTCTACGGGATGAGTTATGTCTGGTGACAAGTGACAAGGCTGTGCGTGTTATCAAGTATTGCTAGTATTAGAAACAAGTGTAGCAAAGTAGAATCAGCCATATTTTGATAACAATTAAGAATGCATTTTAAGTATGTTTGCCATATTAACCCCTTGATAAGTTGGTTCAGTTATAAGTCTGATCACTTAAGTCGGTTATATTCTAAGATTAATTGTGCCATTTGTCTGCATGGTAGCAGAAGAGGTTCCATGGAAGAATCTGTGTAGTCAATTTCAGATTATAATTCTTTTGTATTTATGTGTGCTTCAGGTTTTGGATATGGCATCAGTATTTGATCGAATCTAACAATCTTCACAAATAAAACATCTGAAGGCACATAGGCCTATGTTTAACGCAAGTGGCAAATACCTCCCCCCCTTAAATTTGCTTCCGACGACAATGATTATAAACGATTATCATTGGAACTTTCTCAATTGTATATTTTCTCTTTCAGAATAAAATAAAATATCAAAAGTAATCTCCGAAAAAATCCAAATTTTGTGCGATCTTTTGTTTGCGTTTTTTAGTACATGTTTTTTTCATATTACACAATCACTTTCTTTCACTTTTTTGGCATTATGATTAGCAATATAAAAGTTTTATGATAAACCAGTCTCATTAAAAGTAGATTTTCTTGTACTGTAGACATTCACAATGAAAACAATCAAATTAATAAGATTTTACTTTTATTTAAAAAAAATTTTTTGACAAAAAGGAGTAACACATGTTGGAAAGCACATTAAAAAATCATTACACCGAAAAATTGAAAAATGGAAATCTTTTCAGGTATGTAATACAACTGAAACACAATGCAAATTATAACTTCAAAGATACAGCAGTTTGTGTACATAATCTTATATAAGGCGAGGAAAGCACGACTGCTCAGTGTCATCCTAGTAAAGATGTCTCCAATACTAGTCCTGATCCTTTCTCTTCTCTGCATATCCAGAGCGGCAGTTATCACGACGGAGAAACCAAAGGGATGTATGTACGACGGGAAATTCTACGAAACTGGCATAATAAAAAAGACGGTAGATGGTGACTGTGTGTCGGACATTACTTGTCATGATAATGGCTTTTTAACGCACGGCGAGTCTTTGGGTTGTCTGTTTAGAGGTAAGGATAAAAATAATCATTAATCTTCGGTTAGATGGTAGATCTTAGGCATGAGTTAGAAGTGACTAGTCATGGAGGGGATATGTGTAATGTTATTGTCCTTTTCAAAAATATCGTAGGATACTAGTTATTTTACTTTATTATATTTTAGTCTACAATATAGTCATTCAAAGTACCAATTATTATAACAAAGTTCAGGGAAAACTTTCTACTGAAACAAACAAAGAGCTCAAGGGCTTAACGGTCACTGAGTATAATACAAGTTAGAGGATCCATAGAATATAAAATAAACTGATCGCGGAAGCTTTGTTGCCAAAAAGCAAGAGAAAAAGGATCATCAGCATCAATGAAATAATCAGTTTAATATTTAGAAACAGCACAATAAAAAATTATAATCTGCCGACCCCCTCCTATTTAACACTTTTTCCATACAGACTATGAAAATAAAGTATTATTGCTTCTGAACTGTTTTAAACCCCAATTTGACATATCTCTCAAATTTTGTTCTCTTGATCTATAAACAACATTTTGATAAGTTATTTATGTCTCATTTGTATTTATCTATTATTTACAATGAAACATAATTATGGTGATAACGAACAGTATCCAAGTTCAAAAGTCCATAAAAAATACAAGAAAGGAGCAGAGCAAACACAGACCTCCAAAATATCAGATGTGGGATCATGTGCCATAGAGGTGTAAACATCCCCTGCTGGCCGGTCATTTTCGCCGTGTGCCCCTTGTCATGAATGGGAAATAACGGAAAATCCGTCGTCAATTCATTGACAATAAATAATGAGTTGGGGCTATTTGAAAAAGGAAATTTTACCCAGCCCTCAAGTCATACCTCAATGCAACAGACACCAGTGTGTGATAAAGAATGAATATTATCATCCTAATGTGTTCGTTATTGCTCTTTTTCATTAAGAAATGATTACATTGTCTATTGGTAACAAAAATATTTTTTTTTAAAAATCCACCAGCATTTAGACATTGTAAATAGAAGAGAAGATCCAAAAATTCAAAATAAAATGTTTAGAAGCAACCTTCATCCTCAACCCTCACACAAACACCTGCATAGATGGACGTAAGTCTATCTACGTAAGTCCTTACAATTGGAATTTCTTTTTGAAAATTATTTCAATAATTCATTTTCCCCAAAGCACAAAATAGCAACGTCTCATCAAATCAAATAAAAAATTAGCATATCTAGGGACTTCTAAGGAAAATTTTTCAAAATTTTGAGAGTCAAGTTTGTATACGATTTATTTTTGAATATTTCAGATCTTCCATTACCTCCTCCACCAACAACAAAGGAACCGGAACTCCCTCCTCCGACTCCATCACTCTGGAGGCATCCGCCTAATATTCAGAAGAAATAAATATTTAAAATATCCTTATCCGTTTCTTTTTGTTATAAAAAAGGCAAAGATACGAATATTGATCGATCTCAATAAATATACTGTCGCCTTTGTAGCGCAATTGTTAGAAGGTCTGACCTGCAAAGTAGGGGGTCGATCCTTTGAATCCCACTGTGGGATGTGGAGACCGGTCCTTCGAATGACACCGTATAAACCGTGGTCCCATGTCGCAGTAGGTGCTGGTACAAAAAAAAATTCCTCACTGCTTAATAGCCATGAGCGCCGAGTATAAGACAAAATTTGTAGTTATCCAATGGCAAGTGATGGCGTCCCCATATGAATGAAAAATTCTCGAGAGGGACGTTAAACAACAAACAATTAAAATTAATCAATCTACAAAAATACAGATCAGTGTTACCAAAAAAAAAAAAAAAAAAAAAAAAACACCTGAAATCCAAAGGTGGCATCTATAGTGTCATCCATTGGATGACACGATCACACCCGCAGTAAGCCCTACGAATTTTAATATATATTTTTTAAAAATATGGAGAGAAATTATTTTTAAAAAATGCATATTTTTTTTTTAAAATACACCTAATTTATTCCGTACTTTTAGTGACAACCATCATTGCAGATACAATATATACCAAGTTGGAAAAGAAAATTGTTTTCCCTGTTTATTTTGTCCAAATGTTAAAGACTTGAAACCGAAAGTACATTTCAAATGGCGGATTTATAAGGGTTTTATCTTTATACCTGTCATGTTTCAATAAATGAGACGATTCAAGTCTAACTTGCCATTCATTTATAAACGTATATTATTTCTGCAATGATGGTTTTCACTTAAAGTACAGAATTTAGCAGATGCATTTTTTTGAAACATGCATTTTTTTAAAATTATATCTTTTGTCACAAAATATCTTTTTTTGAATATTTGTTTTCAAGTCATACTTTCTATCTGTTAATCAATGATATATATAAATTGTATAAGTTTTAACTTTATACCTCACGTATTTCATGCAGTTTTGGAACTATTGTAAAAAAAATGGGTTTTTGGACATCTTCACCTTTGGCAAAACCTTATGTGAAAAGTCCACCTATCAATAATAATCGGCAACAGAGCTAACATAAACCCCTAAAACAATCAAAATTGGGATTAAAAGCCTTTGGGATTCAGCCTTGTACAGTGTGCATTTTTTCATAATGGGGAAAAAATGGAAAAATCCGTCAACAATTCAGTGAATAAACCTTGGCTTAACAATTACATAATATAGTATAAAAAAAGACAACTAGCATTTGACATAATGTTGGACTGAATTTGCTGAAAAGGGCTATTTATCGATCATAAAATTTGCAAATGTTTACTTCAAACAAGACTGAAAGTTGGTATTATTCTTTCACCACTTTGTTGATGGTTTGCCTCGTTTTAGGAATTGCTTATACGGTGGGCATGCTCTTGCGTATCGAATCAATGAAATGTGTGGAGATAAGTTAATGAATTAACCATATCCGAGCTCAAAAGTCTATTAGACATTACAAAATAGGAGCGGAGCAAACACGTGCCTCCAAAACATCAGAAATAGGATCAGGTACCATGGAGGAGTGAGCATCCCCTGCCTACAGACCACAGCCACCCGGCATGATCAGGAATTAACCAAAAAATCCGTGGAGAACACAGTGTGTAAATTCATTCAGCATGACTTAATGATAAATTGTATTTGCTGACAAGGTTATGGTATCGACCAAAGAACTTACGAAATAATTCCTTTAAACGAGACTGCTGATATTCTTCCTTCATTAACTTATTTGTCAATAACTTACCGCGTTTTATGAATTATTCATTTGTAGAACTATCTATTTTGTATCAGTCAATAGAGATATAAACTACGTATGCAGTAGACAAAGGTATGCTGAAGAACTAAGAAAAGTTAACGATTGAAAAGTTATAGTCATCAAGTTTATCATAAAGCTTTGTTTTTAGGTAACCGTTGTCTTTTTTCTAGTGCAAGATCCAAATATTAAACAGATGTGTCAGACTCTGTGATATCTTTTATTTCAAGTTCAACGGGATATATCATGTTGACATAAGAATGGAAATACCTATTGTAAATTGAAATACGTCGTCTATACATCATATGTGGAGTTGAAGGTCACAGCAAGTGTTTTCATCTTTTTGTATACAAGATTTTGGACAACTGCTACTTCATATAAAAACAAAAAAGGTGTGCTAATAACGGAGCGCAACTGGTACCCATGGGAATTCCAACAGATCGTTGGAAGACCTGGTGTCGAAAAACCTCATATACATTGTTAATCAGAAACTCAGGAATCTTTTTGATGTCACCTTTAGAGTACGCGTCTGCATAATCAGAATATTTTTCGCAAAGTAATTTTGCAAATGACCAAATGACCAATAACAAGTAATGTAAATTTACGAGTTCCATTTTTATTGAAAAAGGAGATGTCAATGACAACAGACAGCCTCGACATTAATTTATCAGGGGGGATAGTTGTATATAAAGTTGAAAAGTCCAAGTTTTTATGTCGTTGATTTTGATAGAATTTCTTGGTGTTAAATGTTCGAAAAGTTCCTTTAATTTATTATCCACATCTGATTTACACCACTTCTCTGATATATTGATGACAGTATTCTTGAAGTTTTCCCTTCACTACCATTACGATCTTTGTGAGGAATAAGAAAAGGCTTGGTAGAACACTTACTGGGACCCGCTAGGTATCCTTGTAAGGATTCTCATTAATTTTCGGAATTCGATATAGATATGGTAATTCAATTTAATTTTTGATTATTTGGAATATAAAAAATATTCAAAACTGACACAGGATTTTGAAGAATGTCATCGTTAGAAAGGGAGCTATGGGGAAGTTGGATTATAACTTGTAGAATTAAATCCAGGTTCCTCTAAAATACGTTTTATATAATGAACCTTTCAAACAAAGACAATAATGTTACCTGCTTTGTTAGCAGGGACCAGTACGATTTGGTCATGTATTTTATCTACCGTTTACGGTACTTCGGTCGGTAAAGCGTTTGCATGGTAATCAGGAGGTCGTGGGTTCGAATCGATGCCGCGACAGACCCAAGTCGATAAAAATGGATAGCAATTGTTCCTTTGCCATGCGCCAGGCAATTTGAATGAAAATTGCAGGCCCTTCGGATGAGAACTTAAAAACCGAAGGCCCTTTTCACGGTAAGTGTTGGCACGATAAAGATCCATCACTGCTCAATGGGCCTGGGTGCCGAGTAAAGGTAAAAATTTGAAGCCCTTCACCGATATAAGTTGAAGTCTTTGAGTGGAATATATTCTTGAATGGGATGTTAAACAACATAGATCAATCAATCGATAATGTATTCTACATTCTTTTTTAAGTTCTGGATTATTGATTACTGTAGGATAGATGGTTTTTACATTGTCCTTAAATAGCTTAATGTTCGATTTTTACATACTTCTGACACATTTAATCTATTCTGACAAAGTTTCAATTTCTTCTTTTTCGTGTCTGGGAAAACGCTTGGTCTCATCTACAGGATCCATAATATTTATGAAATTATGACGCAAGTTGAAGGATCGGTGTTCCCCATATTTAGAACCTTTTAAAATAAGTGATCTAAGATTCTCATTATTAACCATGGTTCCGTCACTAGATATAACGTGTCCAGTTGGAGCATACTAGTAGTTAAAGGAAGAACATGAACACGATGGAGGATTGTTTAAGATATTCGATATCCAGGCCCTGTAAAGTGTTCTTATAATTAAAATGTTTGGAAGCAAAAGACAATGTATATGTGAAGGAAATACAAGGTGTAGTTTTTTTTTAACTTTTATTTATATTAACAGCGTCAATGCCTTTGTTGGTATATGGCAGTTTAATGTAAAAAAACAAACAGATTTTCCTCCGTAAAACGTGGGGGTTTAAAAAGCCTATGATTTGCGATATCCATAATCACAGATCCGAACCTGTATTCTGGTATAGCGGAATCAAAATTTGACGTTCCTTGACCTTGCAATTAAGATTTTCCAAAGTTTTGGTGTAGAAGCTCGGTCCAGTAAAATTACTAGTAAAAGAAGTGTTAGTTATCAAAATGTCACAGGTTTTACAGTTTTTCGCAGAACATTTTGAAAAAGAAGACTTGAGATCGGAAGAAATCTTGTCTCTAAAAATATGTCTCTAAAGGAAACTTAACATTCTTTAAATTTTTTGTATGGACTATCAATTTTATACCAAAACTGGAAATCTGAAGCTGCACATATGACGTACGTTCAATATCCGAGGGGCACCGAATGAACTCTTCAATCTGTTTCCCTTATAGACTCAAAACAGTGACGACTTTGATACTAGGCGACACGCCTGCCAGTATCATATCGTTATTTTTTTAACTCCTGAATGTATAGATACCTAACGAAAAATATCTTCGGGGACAGACTGTCCACCAGCAGAGATACATGTGCGGTGGTTATAATGAAATATATGGAGACAACGAACAGTATTGCAGCTCAAAAGTCCATTAAACATTACAAATTAGGAGAGGAATAAACACGAATCCAAAAAACATCAAAGGTGGAATCAGGTACCATCGAGGAATGAGTATCCTCTGCCGACCGTAAATGTAATCTGGGTTTAGGGAACCTGGTCATAGTTTAACATTTTTTACTCCCATTTGACCCCCAAATAAAAATAAAAATCTAGAAACCTTAATTCTTGCACATATATAAGACACCATCAATTGTCTTCCAGAATATGAAAATGGTACTGTGTAAAATGGTAAGTTGGGTCTTGGAAACCAGGTCATATTAAAAAAAAAAAAGCATTATTTTTGGCCCAAATTTGCCACCCTGAGAGAAGATTTCAAAACATTATTGCACATCTACAAGACACCATCAATCATCTTGCAAAAGGTGATTATGCTACTGCGTAAAACGTATGAGTACACTGAAAGAAAAACCTAGTGAATTTAACTAGTGTGTTTCGTAAAGCGTTGGTCGTGATTAGTAAACTTTCAG